TGGCTCGTCGATCGACTGTATCTTTTCGGAATCACGGGCCCTCCGTTTGCCAAATACCACGGCTATAGCGGTGCGCGCGACCCTTCGGTAAAGTGATCGCCGCAGCAATGAAACCGTATAGATGGTCAAACATGGACACCGACGCTTTGCTTCTTCCTTTCGGGTTTTCGCGTATAGTATTACAAATTACCCTTGTGGCTTTTTCCGCAAACTCATTTTTCACATTTGTCAATTTTCAACGAACATGAAAGAACGGCCAACCGAGCAATAGCCAAATATATTTTTTTTTTCTTTTAATTTCTCCCTCTCTCGAGAAAAGTCTCGCTCCTCGAATAATCAACTCTCCCGGCGTCGTCGACTTTCTTCCCTCGGCAGACATGACTTTCCATTAAGATAGTCGGCCAGCGAAATTATACCACCGCGGCGGCGAGCGTTTAATTCGCGGCTGACAGGCCGTGCGGCGCACCGATTGCACCGAATCCAAAGTCCTCCTAACCAACGCCAGTTCCCCCTTTTTTTTTGATTTTTTTCCTTCGCTCGACTCATTTCTGCGCACTGCGCGAGTGAGAGAGAACCCTCCGCAAGCCAATTTGCTCGACTTGTTCGTCGAGCTATCGGACACGGACGTCCAATTTAGTTTGTCTAACTCCCCCTCTCCCTGCCTTGCTCTCGCGGGCGTGCGAGTTATCGGCTTATATCGATCGATTATATATGATGGATTAGAATGTCGACACGCCGATATAGAGACAGGCAGAGGCAGAAAGAGAGAGGGAGAGAGAGAGAGAGAGAGAGAGAGAGAGAGAGAGAGAGAGAGAGAGAGAGAGAGAGAGAGAGAGAGAGAGATGGGTTTATTTATATACGAGCGCGAGAGTAAATTTTAGGCTTGATGGGTTTCGTCGGACACCTTTCAGAATGCGCCTCGTTCCAATTGTATCGTTCGTCTTCGTTAGCGAGCCACTTTCTACCGAGAGCTCTCCGCGGTTTTCGAGTTATTAGCTCGAATTTTCGGGCGCACTTTTCTTCTTCGCCAGCTCGCCGCGCAGCCGATGTGCTGCTCTCTTCGAGCGTCGGCCCAGCAACGTTTGCCGCGGGACCGCCGTCGGGCGCAGTTGGCGCAAAGTCCTGCGTGGCTGCAGCGGTGCTGCTACGTCCGTTGCAAGACTGACGTCACCGGGCGCTTCGCTGACTTCGCCAATTCTGCCTTCGCTCGCTCGCGATTCCGAGCATTGGAAATGAATAAACTGGCATTTTTATCTTCCAATCGAAACGCCAGGCGCGAGAAAGATGGCCGGGTTTCGCTCGTAAGCTTGCTTCAGCGGATGAAAATTTCATCGTGACTTCATTTTGATAAAAACGTGTCGGCCGTAGAAAAAAAGCGTTTCATTCGAGAAATAACGCAAAAGAAAACGAGAGAAAGTTTAATTCGAAATATTCTCATTCGCTAGCGCGCTTCCTCGCCTTCCTCGCCTCTTTTAAACGAATCTCACGAACAAGGGTCGAAAAAGATGTTACACGGAATGTGTTGTCAGCACTCGACTTACTTGTCGAGATGTTCGTATATTTGCTCAGCAGCCGTTGACATCCATCAAACAGTCCTTTCGCCCTTCTCCATACTTTGAAAGGAAGAAAAAGCTGGCATCTCAGCCCCATCGTTTCAATTTCAGAGGTTTCCGCGTCAATAGTACAAGCCCAGGCGCAACAACAAACGACGGTATAATTCAATAAACGAGAGCTCCGCGGCAGCGCGAACGAGCGTCGAAGCCAAGCGGGAAAACGTCGCGGCTCCCGACGCACTTTTCCTTTGTGGAAGGAGGGCAAGTGTAATTCGACTAATTCACCGTTCTCCGGGCACTCGATCATCGAGTGCGATCGTCTTTGTTTGTCGTCGCGCGGAGCAGAAAAGGCGATGAGGCTTCGGGGGTAACTGGGTCAAAATACGATTATCCGCGCGTTGGCGCGCGCACACCTTTTTGCACTCTCGCGCCTCGCCGCGAGAGGCTAATTTCGCGGGATATTGGTCTTTGTCCCGACGCTAATTCACGAGCCAAGAGGCGAGCGGCTCTTTGACCCTCTCCCCCACCCGTCTTTCGGAAAGACACGCCGATTAATTAGCCGCTGGTTAATTTTATCTCGTCTCATTTAATTCGTCTCTCTCTTTCTCCCTGGCGCGCGCGGAACGCCAGCTCATTTCGGACGTGAGCGCGCGAGCGAGCCGAAAATTATTTTGCCGTGAATTATTAGGCGCCTCGGTCCTTGAATCGCGCCGTTGGACTTGGTTGGCGAATCGATGAATTATTTATCGCGGCCCTACTCCACTCCGGCTTGTCTTTAAGGTCGTGCAATCGCAAGGCCGGCGGTACGCCAGACGCCCCTCCCCCGGGCGCCGAATCCGCGCGTTCTCGGGGAGAACTGCCCCGTGGCTCGAGGAGCGCGGCGCTCGTTTGAGCTTTTAATTAGCGCGCTCGCGCCGCCTCTCCAAGTGTACTAACGAGCGCGCTCGCGCGAAGAGAAACGCGCCCGCGGCCGATCGCCGGCCGATCGGCAGCCTCGCGGGCGTCGTGGTTGATTTACGAGCCCGCCCTGGAAGAAATAGGACTTCCGGTCGACGCCGAGATGTCATAATAGGCGCGCTAAGTGTTTGTCGTATTAGCCGGGCAATTTGCTGAAAATAAGCTCGGCGCGGGGCCGCCTCGATCGAGGTTAATTGGGCGCGCGCTCGTAAGCGGCAACGCATGTCCGCAATAGGGGATGGAACGGCTATCGGTCTGCAGATGGCGCAAGACGATCATTATTTTCGGAGGCGCGCAGCGCCGCGCGCGCGACATAAATTCACGTCGCGCGCGCGACGGCTCGGGACGTTTACGAGGCGTGAATGCCTCTTGGCCGCGCGGGCGCGCGCGCGTCCGCGGCATCTCTCTATTAAAGACATCTGCGTTTTGTCTTCGGCCGTTACAAACGCCAGAGATCCGCGGGCGAGAAGAAGTGTCGCGCGAGATAGCCGCGCTAGACTTTACGGCCTGTTTATGCTATCTCGCCGTGGCGAGACCTGTCTCAGCGCCCGCTTTTTGTCGACGCGCCTCGCTGGAAATTGCCCCTCTCTCCCTCGCGATTTTCGACTCTTCGCGAACTGCCTGCTCGGAGCTTCGACGCGCCACGCCACACCGACATTGTTCTGCTCTGCTTGCGCAATCGCCGCCGCACCGAATTTCATTCGCTCGCGACAGTTGCGATCCGTTTTTTCTCTCAACTCTCCGGCTTGTTTCGCTATTTTTCCTTCTCAAATGTAACTAGATCATACGAGTGTCAGCTGGAGTCCGGCCTCGTGGAAACCTTTTAAATCACTTGCAAATTATTGCCGAGATAGTTTTTTTATCTCGAGAAAGTTTTTCCTTTTTAACGTTTAAACTGATCGGGCTTGGTTACCCGAATTTTGACCTATTTCAATGTATCTGTGCTCCAGATGTACGGGATGTTTTATCGTTGCCGACTCAGAAAGAATAAAGTTCCGAGTGCTTTTTTAGCTCTGGAACGGTTCAACCGATTTTCATGGGTGAGGGCTCATTTCCATGCGTATGCCTGTGAGATGGTCTCGTTTCATTATTGACTTGGTCGAAAATTAACTTTGCCAGTGAGCGCGAGAAATGAACGCCAAGTTGGCTTTTCCGTTAAATTAATCTTGCTTCAGCAGAATTGGAATACTAATAATTCCGATTTTGAAAAGCTCCCCACGGACAGAGGTCTGCCGGTAGGCTCGAGCGAGAGACGAGCCACTCCCGAGCCTTCGCCGGGCAAAGCTGGACGCGCGCGCGACAGGTGCGAGAGGCTAGCCGAGGTACGTCTAAGCTATCTCGCGACGACGAAGACGTCGAGGCAGCTCGCTAAGTGCTGGCCGGATGAACGAAGGCAGGTCGGCGCTCGCGCGGGCTCGGGTTTCGCTCGCGATCGGCCTAGGCGGGTAAGGCGATCCCTCGATTTCGCCTGTCGTCGCCGAGTGTATATCTGCGCTTGCCGCGGCGCAGACGAGGAGGGGTATTCTCGGGAGAGGCAGTTCGCGCCCGATTGCCTATTATGAAAGAGCTTTGTTCTGCCGCGAGAGCCTCGGTGGGGGGAGGGGGCCCCCGCGAGATGCTGCTGCCTCCGCTCGGCAAAATGGATTACCGCGTCTTACAGCTTGATCCGTGTCACTGAGATTTCAAAGCGTCGTCTCTCGCTCCTCTCGAATTAGTCGCGGTACTCGGCCGAGCTTTTCGGATTATTAATACCCCGCGAGCGCGCTGCGGCAGCTCCCTTGCCTACAGTGCTCCTGCAGCTCGGACCTTGGCGATTTGCGCGCGCTCGTCGAGCGAAATAAAGCCGCGAGACGCGCGACATTTAGAAGAGCGCGCGCGTGCTCGAGGCAGCAGAGAGAGAGAGAGGAGGCCTGTTTACCCGAGAGCCAGCCACTCGGCCGAAGATTAAGCTTGCGGGTCTTCGGAGCAGAGCCGCTTACGCGCGCTACTGTCGAGTCGTGTTGACTATTTCGTTACTTTCCTCCTTGTCCACCTCGATCAATTTAACCCGCGGCTACTGTTCTTTGCGCTTCTGGCGCGCGATTCGTATTGGCCGGGATTTCGAAAAACGTCGCGCGGCGAATTTCGAACGCCGCCGCGGCAGCCAAGCCTTCGGCGCGCGGCCCAGTTTCGTCCTCACTGGCCATGCGACGACTTTTCCAGAATCTCGTTAACTGGCAATTCGCGACGACTGAAGCTACAAGTGAAAGTATGCTAATGCACTTAGCAGGACGACAGATCAATTTTTTTTTTCTTTCTTTTTTACCCACCCGTCTGGACAGGGGAAGCTCTTTCGATTTCGTTGATCGATAAGCGAGCAAACTTTTATCGGCGAGCACGTGTCGTAAAGAAGGAAAAAAAATAAACGTAACCACGTACATACCGCCTGCGTAGATGTACTTGCACGTAATACACTCATCTCTTGTCTTGCTGTTTTCTTTTCTGTTGCAGCCCACGAAACTAAACGTTTACAAAAACGACTCGGAAAGTTGGGATTACACTACACCGGCAATTGGTATGTTGGCAGTCACGCTTTTTTTTTCAATCCAAAACTTGTTTGCAATTCAATTTGTATAATGTTCAAGTAGAGTTCAATGCGAGATAAGCGAAAAAAAAAGGTAATTTTAAAGTTATCGCATTACCGCGCTCGATAGATTTTCTTTCCCACGCTATATTCAAACGCTGTTGAAAGGAACATTGAACTCTGCAAATCAAATGGTAAAAGCATAATTAATGGTAAATTTGAAAAGTCTGCGTTGCATTATCATTGAATATCATTTGACTTTACTTACGGTACGATTATCACTGACGACGCCGTTATACGACGAAAATATTCAGATGAAAAATCAAAACACCACAAATATATTCAGTTGAAAACTGAAAATATATTTATATGTAATATCCACACTTATTGACTACGATGTGTTAAACGAAACAATGCTCAAGTTTCATCATCAAAATATAATATACAAATTCAGCAAAAACAGAAACCATAACGTCAAGAACAACATCAACAACATCAACAACATCAACAACAACAACAACAACAACATCATCATCAAATCCAAGGTGGTGAGAAATAACAACTCGATACAACACATTCATTATCTAACTGGAGGGGAGAATTTCATGAAAATGATACACTGACATTTCGTCAAAATATCAAAATGAGAAAATATAAAACTAACGCTTCACGATCTCTTATATACTCCCCTTAAAAAATAAATCTACTGCCAGGAAGAAAGTTCTTGATGTATATGCATATATATATATACGCATGTATATACATATATATACACACAAGAAGACATCTGTAGAAGATTATTTTTACACAACACAGAGGAAAAGAGCGAGAGGATGAAGGAATAAGAAAAATAATCACATTAATATACATTTCGTCAAGTGTCAATCAACAAACATTTTCTAAAAGTAATGCGAGAATATATATATCTGAATCCTTTGCATGTTTTGGTGCGCTAATGTAATTGTCCTCATGTATACCAAACAACAGAAACAGAGAATAGTCGATTATCAAACAAGAAAAAAAGAAGCTTCTATCGAATAAAAGTCTGTCGTTCGAAAAGCAAATACGCAAATCTCTATTACGCCTTCTCTCTTGTCTTGCACATGTTGATGTTAATGTTTCTTTCGATGTTAACACTGTATACGTTTTGTACTTACTCAATGAACAGTCTCTATCTCTCTCTCTCTTTTTATCCAGAACAACAGTGACGTTTCGATTTTAAAATCGCTGCCAATTAGCATCACAAAACACGATTTCGGTAAAGTCCAATCCCTGATTATATATATTAATGCACAAACTGATAATAATCAAATTTAATATTACGTACGTGTATCTCGTAATGCTGCCGATTAAACGAAACAAATCCATTTATAGCTTAATTTGCGCTATAAATTAGGCGCTACAGATCTCGTTTGCGTGCTTCACAACTAAACTCGTTAAAGAGAGGAAACGCCTCTTGATTAATGTACAAAGCTTTATTGATATACACACTATCGAGTCGAACGTCGGAAACGTACAAATATAAATGTTTTTGCGAGTCGCTATCGAAAACACGAACGTCGTACATTAAAATAAAAGTCAAACTTGCGATCTTCGACAGGAGAAGTCTATGAATGTCAAGACGTACTTTATTTGCTACATACAAACAACTGCTACATTTGTTGCGAGCGCGAAAAAGCTTTCGTCCGCACCCACATGTTCTCGTTGCAAAGAAAATCAAATTTCGTTTGTATTTTTTTGTTGCTACTCTTGTTCGTACGATGAAAATATTCGATTCCTGTCGTAACTGTTGTTAACATATTTGTCCTGAGTATTGTTTGTATGTAGATTGACTATATTTGAAATTGTAATTGTAGTGATTGGTAATATCAGTGAAAATTGCCTATCTCTCTCTCTACATAAACCTGGAAACAAGTATATATATTCTATCTAAAGCACGACGTCAATAGTGGTGCCAGCACTTCCCTCTCAAGTCCTGACAATGCTGTTTGTGGTTTCTTGATTCTTTGTATATGTATATATATCTAGATCCACACCAAAAACACATACAATTCTCACCGATGGCTATATATGTATATGTGAATGATATATAAATCTCATGTCTTATCGTGTTTATGATACATGTGTCGTTGAAAGTGCCATGATATATATACATATTTAATATCACTCTCCGAAACTCCCCGATAATATGTTTAATCTTTATATGTAAAATATGTGAACAGCGAAGTTCTCTTCATTATAATATATAAATATGATATATACATCAGAAAACGATACCGTTAGAATAATATATATATGTACACAATATACACATATATATATTAGCAACATATATTTTTACGTCCCGTACAAAGGACTTTTTTTTTATATGCACTCTCACAGACAAACATTCAGTTCATCACTGATCCAAATGTAAAAAAGTAAATATATACGTATCTATATATTTTTACAAATTAACTTTTCACTTTTTGTGTATATATAAATGTTTTACTGTTGATGTAAGTTCATTTTACTAACGATATTATATATCTACGCATCTCTCGTTACCTTTCACTTGTTTTAATAATTTATATTCAAAGTACAAAACGCTCGAGGAGGTACGTCGATAATGAAAGTTTAATTACGTACACGAATGGCTGAAAATCTTTCCTCTCGCTTGATTCATAACACCAATAATATCATCACCACCACCACCACCACAACATCAACAACGACATAGACATGATTATCAACATCAACAACCACCACAATAGGACTCAAGACTAACAAAGCACTTTTGTCATAGAAGAATCCTTTTCTCGACTAAGTACGAGAAAGGGAGGCTCAATAATATCATATACCAATGACTGGATGACTACGTTAAAGAGAACAAATTGAATTTTGTTTGCAAAAAATAAATAAATAAATAAAAAGTGGGAGGAAAGACGTGTTATGTTGGAATGTTTGTCTGTGTGCAGATGCAGCCCATCTCTGAGTTGTTGTGATGAGGTGAATCACAGAGACACGCTTCTATGGACAGAGAAATGGAAGTTTGGAATAAGTAAAGAGAATAAGCATATAATGAGTGCGAGCACGGAGAGAGAGAGAGAGAGAGTGAAAAAAAGGGAGAAAGAGAGAGAGAGAGAGAGAGAGAGAGAGAGAGAGAGAGAGAGAGAGAGAAACAAAAAAAAGTAGTGCAACGATGAGGAGAGGCACAGAGTAAAGAAAAAGTGTCTTGTAAGAGAGAATAAGGAGCAAAGTTGCGAGGACAAAAAGAGAGTTAAAATTGAAAGTGTCGAGAGAAAGATTCGCTCACGTGCTCTCTCATGCTTGTCTCTCTGTGGCGCACGCGCCCGCTGCGGTAAGTCCAAGAATATAGCAAAACAACCGAAGCAAACAAAAACAAAAAACGAAAAGAACAAAGATAAGCTATGCGATGATAAATCATTCGATCTCAATTTGTACAGCTCCGAGCGTTTCTGTTTTTATACAATATAATAATCTCTGCCGTTTCCTTCCATATACAATGCGAAACTTGATCGATTTCCTCCCGTGAGAAATGTCATGTATACGACGACACAGAGAGCCAGTTCACCCCTCTCTGCGTGCTCTTTTTGTAAATTACGCCGAAAAAGCTGACGTTCGCTCCCTTCCTCTCTCGCTCTTCGCGCAAATGACAGTTAATCTCGCTGTACGCTCATTCTCATTGGGCACATTAACAAATGAACACTAGTGCGGCTCTGACGACGCCGAGTGCAAAGCTTGCACTTGTAACGAACGCACACCAGCGGCCGTCGCATCGACTGTGCACGCGAGCAACGAGAGAGAGAGAGAGAGAGAGAGAGAGCGAGAGAGCGAGCGAGCGAGCGAGCAAGCAGGATTGATTGATGCGCGCAAGCTCTTTAATACTGCATTCCAGCCAAATTGCAAAGAAGCGATTATCTCGTGCCTGCGCAGTTGCATAACAGGCCAAGAACGCTGCGCTCCCCCGACGAGTCATTTGTCAGGGGAAAAGTCTCGCGTTGGCCCGGAAAAGGCTGTTCGCCGAGCGCTATGCGACCCCGGCGATTCATCAGCTCGATGGTCTTGTTAGTTTTGTCGCGCCCGCACGAGTCCTTTCGTCGAGAGCCGATGGGGGTGAGCGCCGAGGACTCATCGATTAATTTGCCAAGCGCGAGTTCGCGGGGCCGAGGAGGTCGCGCGCGCGACGGACGGCGATCCAGCCGCTCCATTTTTGCGCTCGGCAAGCGAGAGCCGAGGCTGCAGCTGATCTCGGTCGAGGAGTGACGAGCGATTCCGCTGCGCGGTATCGAGGCCCAAAGTGGAATCCGATCGCGGGCGCAGGGCCGATTGTTCGCGCGGCCGCGTTTCCTGCGTCGGAAGCCTCGTGTAAAAGACTACTCGCGCGATTGCGATCGATGGGCGCGCAGTCCCAAGCGGCTGCGCTTGAGGCTGGAGGCTAGGCTCTCTGCCGTGGTGCAAGCCTCCCCCCCCCCCCCGCGCTTTCATCAGTTCCCCGCAGGCTCGGTCGATCCCTCGCGAGTCGAAGCGGAAGGAGCGGTCGTCCGTGCTCGCGAGGATGTCGCGCGAACAGCACGGCGTGCTCGTGGAAGCGAAGACTCGCTCGCGCATCGACAAAAGCAGAGACGTACTCGCGAGGCGCGTCATCCTCGCGAGGGAGGGAGATAGAGTAAAGGATTTTCCGTCTACGGAGGGATGAAGGGGAAGGGAGAACGGAACAGTCGCATGCGCGTCTCTGGTAGTCTGCGTGGCGTCGCTTCGAGGTCGATACAGCTCTCTCTCTCTCTCTCTCTCTCTCTCTCGCTCTTTCTCGCTCTCTCTCACTCTCTCTCTCTCTCTCTCTCTTTAACCGTGTGACCTCGGCTTCGTCCATTTCCCGAAAGCTTCGAGCTCGCTCGGTAAAAGCAAATCACTCTGCTTACGCGCGCGCGTCACCAACCCTTTTTCATCATAACCATACTCGGGTAAACGTTTACGTTTGCTCAGATTTTTTTTCCTACATCCCCCGACGAAACGCTGCTCTCTCTCTCTCTCTCTCTCCTCTCTCTCTCTCTCTCTCTCTCTCTCTCTCTCTATCTCTCTCTCTCTCTCTCTCTCTCTCTATCTCTCTCTCTCTCTCTCTCTCTCTCTCTCTATCTCTCTATCTCTCTATCTCTCTCTCTCTCTATCTCTCTCTCTCTCTATCTCTTTTCTGAGGTCACGCGTATTTTCTTTTTTCGTTCGAGCGCGCTCGTAAAAGGAAAAAGAAGTGGCTCGTAACGATCAAAAATTCTTTACCGCCGGCCACAAAAAGTAACGCGTCCCCGAGAGAGATAAAGAATAGATAGCGTCATGAATTTGCGATTGAATCGTTGCTTTGACAAAGGCGCGAGAGCGGAAAAATGAAATTTTACACTTCTGTAGGATCGAATTAACAAATCGCCTTACCGAGTACCATTGAGAGGGCATTTTCCAGGCCGATGGCAATCGGCGCACAAAGGAAGCCGTCGTACAATAACAGGAAAATCTGTTGTCTCGATCGAAAAAATGGAGCTCGGAGCTCGTCGCGGGGAGAAAGGTAGAATCGGCGCGGGCCTCCGGAACGTCGAGCGAGCAAGCGAGCGAGCGAGCGAGGGAGGGACGATCGCGCGTCGCGCTAACGAGCCGTCGTCGCCGAGAGGAGGCCGCAGCGCTGACTGGTGGTTTCTGCTTGCAGGGGCGCACAAGGACGGACAGGGCAACCCGAGGCCAGCCCCGCTGCTCGCCGAGCCGCGCTACGGAGCCGCGCCGCAGCCCTACGGTAATGTTGTTTGCGCGCGGCGCTCGCCGGCGATTTGGTGATTTATCGCGGACTTTGCTGTAGGAGCAGCCGTCGCGCCGGCCGGCGGCGTGCAGTTCGGTGGCGCCGGGGCCGGCGCCGCTCACGACAGGTACGAGGAGGGCTTCAACGGGCCGGCCGCCTACGCCGAGCCCTACGTCGAGCGCTACGGGCTCAAGTCCGCTGCCGAGTTCGCCGGGCGCGAGGCTCTGCACCCGACCCCCGGCACCAGACCTGGTGAGTACCTTCGCCTCGCTCTCGCCTGACTTTGCACTCGCGAGCCTCCTCTTTGCCCTCGTCGGCCTCCTCGCGTGCGTCGCTTGCGACTTTCGATGCCCGCCCAAGCTTCTTAGCTTCGCGATGCGTCATTTCACGGTGCGCTACCCAATGCGACTTCGTCTTGATAGCCAGCGTCACACCGGCCGCTCAGCTGTGTGGAAGGTGCCAAAAAGAAGTTATCATTGCTCGCCGCACGATTCGAGCTCTGCAATTTGAAATTCCGAGTGCCTCTTGCCAAATTAATAATCAACAGGATTACGCGTGAAACTTGGCGTAGTTATGAGTTTAATAGCTTCCAAACAACCAACTAAAATGACCGAAATTGAATTCTTTATGTTTCGAGTAAAGCTATACAAACTTGTCTAGTTGTCAAGCGCGCAAGCAGATTAAATTATTTAACTACGATCAACGTCGCCAAGCGAAAACTTGATGTTTACCAGTTGACGAGAAAGTTTGCCTTTTATCGAAGCGACACTGCCGACTAGTATCGCGCTCAAACCAGTATCCTGTAGCTTTTGGACACAAGTTAGGAACAACTCGAACGTTATGACGAAATTAAGACGAGTTGTTGATGCGCGCGAGGAATTAACGTTGAAAAGTGCTGCATGGCTTCTTATTTTTCGTTTTCCGTAGAAATGTGTCGGTGGTGTTTTCAAAAGCGACGAACCATGCAAAACACAACCAAGCTTTTGAGAGCACCTGCGACGTGTAGCGCATAAATATTTTAGCGTAAAGCCAACAAAAACCTTGTAAGAAAGACAACGTTGATGCGCAACGTTTTTAACCGACAGATTGTGTTGCAGGCGCCTATGTGCCGGGCGCTGCACTGGGTCAAGCACCGACGGGCAGCGCGCAAGGATCGGTCATGATGGTGTACGGCCTACAGCCGGAAAAAGTCAACTGCGACAAGCTCTTCAATCTGTTCTGCCTGTACGGCAACGTCAGCAAGGTCAAGTTCCTCAAGACGAAGGAGGGCTGCGCAATGATCCAAATGGGCGACAGCATCGCGGTGGAGCGCTGCCTGCAAAATCTGAACAACGTCACCATCGGCAACCAAGACTCCACGGTCAAGCTTCAGCTGGGCTTCTCGAAGCAAGCCTTCCTGTCGGACGTCACCAATCCCTACATCCTGCCCGACAAAACGCCCAGCTTCAAGGACTTCACCGGCAGCAAGAACAACAGGTTCTTGAACCCGGCGATGGCCAACAAAAATCGAATTCAGCCGCCGTCGAAGATCGTTCACTTCTTCAACACGCCGCCCGATCTCACCGAGGAGACGGTCCACCGCGTGTTCATTGACCATGGAATTGAGCCACCCACCACCGTCAAGCTTTTCCCGCTGAAATCCGAACGATCCTCATCCGGCCTCATCGAGTTCAGCTGCGTTGGCATTGCCGTTCAAGCTATTATGGAGTGCAATCATACCGCCCTTGAAAACAACAGTGAGTCGACGATAGGCTTCATCGCGGCGATGATCCGCTCGTAGACCAATCGCTAATTAACTGTACTCTTTTCCTTAGATGGCAAGTTCCCGTACATAATGAAGCTGTGCTTCTCGTCGTCGCGCACTATCCCGAGCAGCTTCCCCGCGGGAACGGGAGGCGGCAGCGGCTCGGGCTCAACCTCGGGCTCGACCGGTGGCCAGTCGGCAAACAACGGCCACGCCAAAATGCAGCAGGACTCGGAATAGAACGGCGAGGCCCAGGGTCAGCAGCGTCAGCGCCAGCGCCAGCAGCAGCAGCAACAGCAGCAACAGCAGCACCAGCAGCAGCAGCAGCAGCAGCAGCAGCAGCAGCACCAACAGCAGCAGCAGCAACGTCAACGCGTCGCGGCAGCACAAGCCCAAGCTGCTCTCAACCTGCAACTGGCAGCGGCAGCCTGCACCACAGCAGCAGCAGCTCAGCAGCAGCAACAGCAGCAACAGCAGCAGCAGCAGTCGGCAGCGGCCGCGGCAGCGGCAGCAGCTCTCGCACTGTCCCCGGTCTTGCCTCCGCATCCGCCACCCCTGCCACCACCGCCGCATCCACACCCGGGCTGCCTGCTCATCGCCGCGCCGCCCAACTTAGCCGCTGCCGCGGCAGCTGCTGCTGCTGCACACTATCAGCCACCGCCGCCACCGCCCCTGCCCGCATTCTGGCCCTACTAAACGACATTTGCGACAACAACCGCAAACTAACTGACTCGTGCGATAGACCGATCGAGTAGAAAAAATCCGACAGATAGAGAGGCAATATATACGGCAAAAAGTATGTATTTATATATGTATGTTACTACTATTCGATTGTACCAAACAGTGCACCACCCATTTTGACCACATGACGAAGACCGTGACCGAAGCAAGAAGTAATAATGATCGACAACAAATAAAAAAAAAAGCGTTGTGTGTGCGCGTACATGTAAAGCGACAGTGTTCACGCGATAAATAGTACATGTGTGTGCGTGTGTGTGCACGTAGCGTGTAAATAGTAGGCGACATTTCTAGCCGAGAGCAGGCACTAAAACACGTGTGCGCATCGTCATTTACCATCCCTTAAGCAGTTTATTTTCTTCGTTGTTCCTTATTTTTCAATTCCTTTTGACTTCTCAATTCTCTCATGATAAACACACAATCACGCCGTTATTTGATTCAATTTTTTTCGTTCATATGTGTGTGCGTGTGTTGTGATTCTCGTGACTTATGTTTAGGCTTTTGCGTTTACGTTATTATTATTACTCTGTTTACTTAGGTACATAGGCATATTTCAAGGGTCTATGTGTGTATGGATCAATTGTTAATTTGACAATTTTTACGGCGAGTTTTCATGCGAGTGTTTTATTGCGACCCACGGCGCGCATACAAGTTTAGCTCGTAAGCTGTTAGTAATAGCGTTTACTCATATCGCATTCGAAGAATAAAAAATTACATTCGTAGATGTATATATGTGATTACGAAGAAAGTTGTTTCTTCGGCAAAATTGAGAAGATATTTGTCACTTTTTTAGAAAAAGCAAATTAATTGAGACGCAAGTTAATATTTTTTTTCTTTTTCTTTTTTTAATTTGTATATTAAATTTTTTATGGTCGAACTAGACAAAAAAAATTTTATTTTCGCTTAGACGATTGAGTTCGAGCTTAAGATTGAATTGAGAATTTCTTTCAATGGAGGCGTTTTTATCGACTGGTATTCTTCTTAATAAAATAAAGTTAAGGTTTAATGATAAAGATAATGATAATGATAATAATAATAATCAAAAAGTGTGAACTAAAGTTCCTTTGTCACTGTTTGCACTAAAGCACAAGTAATTGATTTTCCTTTTTTTAGTTTGCCACGAGATAAAAAAAAAAGATGAGGGAATGAACGAGAATTTCCGTAAATGAAATATTTTTTGCAGAGTCGGCTTGCACGCGTGTTTCGTTTCTCATCCGATCACTCTCGCCGTTCTATAAGAACGTTATTATACCAAGTAGCAACGTGAGTGTGCGTGTGCGTATATATGAATTCAACCAAACTTTTGTCAGCAAGGAGACGTAACTTTACGCTTGGAGCTTTTTAATTATCTTCTTTGCGCGCACGCGGAACGACAACGAATTCTCTCATGATATGATGCATCAGGTTGTAATTTATATAGACTTTTAGGCCAAACTACTTAGCTCTTCGCTTGTATGAAACCAAAACTAGACTTGGATTGCTCGTCTCACATTCTCTGTTATTCAATAGCTTTAATTGCAATATTTTTTACGATGCTAAAAATCCTTCGATTGTAGTCACGAAGAGCTAAATCCGCGATATTAGCTTTATCTCGGATGTCGCGCATCATAATAAATAAAAAAATTATTAGGCATATATAAACAGCTTCGACTAGCATCACTACGAGTGCGCAATAATTTTTATGAAACTCGAAATAATTAGTGCTGTATTCGGAATCGTTAACGACTCATTAATTTTTGTAAGGATTTGAAAACTTTGCATATCTTGTCATCTATCGTACTGAATGACTTATATAAAGTAATTAAATGATAGACAAATGGGCAGTGATAAGAAAAGTCCATTTTTTGGTGCATATTGTAAATGAAAGAATTCAATTAAACGAGGTGATTAGAAGGAATAACTTTGTTAACAATAAACAGTATTTCAAATTAGTGCGTAATACTAAAACAAATCGCTAAAAAGAGACCAACCCGCTCACTTAAAAAGGATCTTATAAATGAAATCAACAATCGCGTGTATATCAAACTCAAGGTTGTAAGGGGTGAAAATTTAAATTTTTTGTCGAGGACTAAATAACAAATAACAATAATATTAAGATTAATTAATTAGTAATAATAATAATAATAATAATAATAATACTGAATTTAGAATCTGTTTAAAAGCGAAATCTTAAAGCGACATATCTCATTCTATATGTATATATTTGCAAGCGCGTTTTATGAAAACATTTATTACATTGAATATATACAGTGTAATTACGAATTATTTGCGGGCAGCAATTTTTGGAGAAATAATAATAAGTAAAATGAAAAAGTTGAATGTCTTTAGACGTGTATACAATTTCGGAGGAGGAAGGATTTTAATGTCATTATAAATTCAAAAAATGTCAAATCGTATCTCTACGATTAAAAGTAGTTGAATCACACAATTAAAATTGCATATCGTTATGGAACGGAAAAAATAAGAAGCCCTCGGTTAATTAAGTAATTAATTATTTTTCAAATTCGTCTCATAATTAATTAGTTAAATAATTTCCTCTCGTTAGTTAAATCTGCAAGAACTACAAGCAAAAAAACTTAAAATAAATACTGCCGACGCGCTTTTTTGCTTCAATTCTGTAACATCCGATCGCCTATATTCAAGTATTTTCTCGTTGCGCATGCGATCCGCCAGTGCTCAGGTGTACACCATTCTATCCTTCGCGCACGACCAATGATTTTGAACAAACAAAACTATGTACAACTATATACGATTTTTTACGAGAATATTGAATTTCTATTTTTCTAATTTCCTTTTACGTCACATATATCATGTCCGTGGTCGTTCGCTCGCATATTCGAGTAAAGATAAATAATATATGTATATTGGATACTCGTCACCGAGGCACTGGTCTATCTCGTCGAGCGAGCCAAATCATTCCAAATGTAACGCTAACATTAGTCGAGTAAGTAGATGAAAAAGATAAAACTAATTTTAATCAATCGAGCAAAATGCGTCTGTGCGTTGTGGAGATGAGGCAGACGGTCGTGACGATGTTACGGATTGAGCAAAAAGCGCCTTAGTAGCCTATGAAAAACTAATTCCCAAGCATTGTATGTAGACAACATTTTTCTCTACCCCCTCCCTCTCCCCGTTACACATATCAGGAGGTAGGCAGTCCCATTTAGAAACCATATCAATGTCTCTAGCGATAATTATCGTCCCGTTAACGAGAAAACCCACGTGTGATTATATTCTACATATTATATATATTATATATATATATATATATATATCTATATACACTTTTTGAAAAAAAGAGACTAAAAAAATTACGTAGATACCCCTTCGCTCATTCTTCCCTTCCCCGTCCCTCTTTAAAGTGTGTACCCTGATGGTCCTCTGAGTAGGAGAGACGTCGCGCGTTCAAAATATACGTAAAGATTATATAAACAAAAGAAAAACTTAGACGACCTTACTAATAAAGTTGTAATGTAACGGAAAACTTAGTACTCGTAGAAAGTATAACTTAGATCTCGGCTATGCTGCTTTTGTAAGAATCTCTTCATGTAAAAGTGCGCGACGTTTCTTTCAACTACCCCAACGAAGCGCAATTCTTTCGATTGTCGTATTTCATTTCTGTATTGTTTTACTGCTCGATCGAAAGCATTGTGCCGCGAACAAAAAATAAAAAAATTAACGAGGGCGCATCATTATTAAAAAAGAAAAAAACTTATTATATACTCTGTGTCTCTGTTATATCGTGCATCTGAGCCGGAAGGGTCTCTAAGCTCTGTCTTCCCATTGCTGCGACAAATTAGGATATAATAAGATTTGTTGACTGTATACATTATTATTTATATATGCATTGCGCATTATTGAGTGAGGAATATAAAAAAAAAGTAAATTTAGCGCGAATCATCAAACGATAAATTTTTTTTGAGCGCGCGCCGTTACGACGATTGTCCGTTAAGAAAAAACAATATAAACCCCTTCGAGTTCGATACTTGCCCATCGCACTTGTACGTCGTTTCCATCGTTCTCTTTCATTAGTTTGCTCTACCAACAATTTCATACACATTCGACGAATCAATTTCTTTGTTTTTTTGCAAGTATTATTTGAATAAGCTGTTGTAGACAAAAAAGAAAAAAGTGTGTCAAAGGAAAAAATTACAACGTCATGCAAGTGCGAGCGGCACAAGTCTATAATGGGATCCTCGTCAAAAAGGCGCTGCGCACTAAAACGTATGTGAATGTATTTTAATGAAATAGTTTTATCTCTAGGGAAAGTAATAAAAAATAATACACATCGTAAGCTCGAAGGCTTAGTCTTTCGTACGTCTCGAATAGTAAGTTGGCGCGTTGTTTAAAAAAAATTAAAGTCTGGAACATGAGGAAAAAATGAGAAGAGAGAGAGAGAGAGAGAGAGAGAGAGAGAGAGAGAGAGAGAGAGAGAGAGAGAGAGAGAGAGAGAGAGAAAGAAAGAGAGAGTGAGGATGTGTGAGTGTGAGGAGCGATTTTCGCTCGACAAAGGACAAAAAGATATGAGAAAGCGAGCGAGCGAGAAAGAGAGAAAGAATAAGTAAAAGTAACAAAAACTAATAAACAATAAGAGCAAACAAAAAATTACAATGAAGAAATGTAATATGTGTATTATAATGTATGTCGTACGCTGTAATGTTGTTTGAATTTGCGAGTCAATTATCTGTGCCTAGCAGCCCTGCGCACCCTACCAACTGATGTACT